GAAAAGACAGTTACCAGGGTGGTTGGAGTCCTTGATGATTTTAACAGCTCTGCTTTTGCAGCGTTTGAGGTAGATGTCCTGTAGAGAGGGGAGAGCAGACCCTGAGAAGCGCTCAGCTAAGCGCACAACTCTCTGCAGGGATTTGCAGTCTTGACTGGAACTGTTCCCATATCACACTGAGATACACTGAGTCAATACACTTTCTATGGCCCCTGAATAGAAAGTTTTCAGGATTGCTGGCAAAACCCTGAATTTTCTCAGCTGTCGCAGATGGTACAGTCTTTGCCTGGCTTTATTAACTTGAGTTTGGATGTGTGAAGTCCAAGTCAGGTCCTTGGAGATGTTTACACCAAGGTACTTGAAGCTGCTCACTCTCTCCACTGGGGTCCCACTGATCATAAGAGGAGTATAGGGCCGCTGCTGTCTCTTCCTGAAGTCCACAATCAGCTCTTTAGTTTTACTCACATTCATAGAGAGACAATTGTCCTGGCACCATGATGTGAGTTTCTCTACCTCATGCAAGTATGCAGCCTCATTGTTGTTGGAACTGAGGCCCAGAACCACAGTATCATCAGCAAATTTGATTATAGATGTGGAGCTGTGGGAAGACACGCAGTCATGTGTGTAGAGAGAGTAGAGCAGGGGACTCAGGACACAGCCGTGTGGTGCTCCCACGTTCAGGGTGATGGAGTTCGAGGTGAACTGGCCTACTTTCACCACTTGAGGTCTACCAGTGAGGAAATCTAGAATCCAGTTGGAGAGTGAAGAATTCAGGCCAAGGTCCAAGAGTTTAGAAGCTAGCTTGATGGGGACTATAGTATTGAAAGCTGAGCTATAGTCGATGAACAGCAGCCTTACATAATTCCTATTGCTGCTGTCAATGTGCATGAGGGAAGAGTGCAGGACATGAGAGATGGCATCTTCAGTAGATCTGTTGGGGCGATAGGCAAACTGAAGAGGGTCCAAAGTATCAGGGATGGAGGAGCAAATGTTGTTCTTTATAAGTTTCTCAAAGACCTTCATGGCTATTGACGTGAGGGCAACTGGACGATAGTCATTCAGGCAAGAGAGGTTATTGTTCTTAGGCACAGGGATGATGACAGATTTTTTAAAGGGGGTGGGAACCACCGAGGTAGCAAGGGACTCATTAAAGATGGATGTAAACAAACCAGCGAGCTGATCAGCACAGGACCTCAGAACACGCCCAGAAATCCCATCAGGACCTGCTGCTTTCCTGACCTTCACTCGCTTTAGGGCCCTCCGAACCTCGTCCTCTGACACAGTGATTACATGATTATCGCTGCTCTGTCTGCAGCTTCCTGACGTGCTGATCGGCAGAGTCGCGCTGCCTCGATTGCATTCAAAGCGGCTGTAGAAAGAGTTTAACTCGTCAGCCAGCAACGGGTCTGCTCTCACAGCTGCAGATGGTTCTCAGTCCCTGCCACATGCGTCGAGAGTCATTGAGCTGAAAATGAGACTCTATTCGTTCCCTGTATCGGAGTTTGGCGGCTCTTACCGCCCGTCGGAGATCATAGCACGATGCTTTTTATAAATTTTCATATTTATTATATTTATTATATTTCTTTTTATAAATAATACATTTTATTCAAATTAATTGCATTTATTAATTTCAAATAATCATATACATGCTATTGTTCAAAGGTTTGGGATTAATACGATTTTTGTTGAAAGAAATTAAAAGCTTTATTCAGCAAGGGCTCATTCAATTGATCAAAAGTAACAGTAAAGACATTTGGTTAATATTACAAATGATTTCTATTTGAAATAAATGCAGTTCTTTTGAATTTTGTATTCATTAAAGAATCCTAAAATATGCATATCGGGTTCCACAAAAATTTTAAGGAGCACAACTGTTTTCAACATTGATAATAATAAGAAATGTTTCTTGAGCAGCAAATCCGCATATTAGAATGATTTCAGAAGACACTGAAGACTGGAGTAATGATGCTGAAAATTCCGCTTTGCCATCACATGAATAAATTATATTTTGAAGTATATTAAAATGTATTTAAAAAAATGGGTAACACTTTCTATGAAGCCCGTATTTATAATACATTATAAGGGTATTCTAAAGGCATTATAATGAATGCATAATGCATTATAAAAAACCTTATAATATGTTGTATCATCTCATGAATATTCATAAGAACAGTTTTAATATATTATAATATTTACTTATTTGTGGTTATAGCTTTTAAGAGTATGATGATTTATAACACAATGAACACGTTGCATCCACTTTTACAATGCTTTATATTTCTCATAGTTATAATGTATTATAAGTCTCATATCTTGCCATTTTTCTTATGCTACTTTACTTAAAGCGGTCAAAGACCACTTATAAGTAATAATAATAATAATAAAAAATTCTCTCAAACAGCCATAAGATCAGATATCAGATCAGATGAATGTGTAATATGACACATTTGCTTTGAACTATTTTTGTTGTAATATCAGTTTGATTATTTTGATGGTACCCTTTAAACA